TTATTTCCACATATTCAAATCAGGAGAGGAACACTGACGCATCACTTCACATCCTATAGCCTAGATTTTAGGCACGACTCTTTTCCAGGCCATTGAAGAAAGCACCCACTGATTGGCTTTGACTTTTACTCCCTCTGTATAGAGACAAAGGGGTAGGTTACCTTGTTACAACAAAAGAATTATTACCCACCCTACAGATCTAGGATTGCTGAAACAGCCATTCTTTACCCTGCTCGTTCCAACCCAAACTGCATAACCACTGCCTAATAAGAAAGAATAGGAAGGATGCACCAATCAGGTCAAACAGCTGTTTCTCACATTTCAACAAACTACTGTATGTCCACTTGATTCCTTAATTCCCAAGATGGTCTAGGAGCTTTCTTTCTCTTTTTTTTAAATTCGGCTTTTCTTTATTTTAAGTTGTGAAATGATTTCATGATTACAGAAGAGTTCAAAGATATTAGAGAGAATTCCTATATATTTTCATTCAATATCCCTTACTTTTAACATGTTACATAACCATGGCATAATTATCAAAGATTAACATTGATACAGTAGTATAAATTAAACTTCACACTTCACTTATATCTGACCAATTTTCTTAATCATATATTTTTATTTCCCTTTGGGTTCCAGTCCAAGACTCCACATTACATGCAGTTTTCATGACACCTTAGATATGTCAAATCCAGGTTTGATTTTTCTACCTTTCCTCGTTTTCCATATATTGGAAACTTGGGTATGCTGTTCAAGAATTTTGCACCAAGTTCCTCATTTTTGGCTATTTCAATGTTTTCTCATTATTCAACTGGTAATATTAACTGTGGAAAAATTGCCAACAAAATTAATTATCTTTCTATTTTGATGTATATTTGTATATCTTAATGGTGTATAATAATGCACTTATACAGTGTATAATGATAAAATCAGAGTGATAAGAATTTGCACCTCTTCAAACAACATGTGGGACCAGCCAAGATGTCCACCAATGCATCAATGAATGAAGGAATGGTGTATATATATACATATATATACACACACAATGGAATAATATTCAGCCATAAAATGAATGAAATTCTATCAATGATAGCAACATGGGTAGCACTAGAGGTCATTGCAATGAGTAAAATAACCTGGACACAGAGACACACAGCACGTTTCCCACTCATTTGTGGAAACTGAAAAATCAATCCTTAGAAGAATGAAGTGGAAGAGACTAAGAAGAGGGAGGGAAGACGGAAATAAGTTAGATCCAAGGTGCCAAAACCCTGTTAAAGAAGAAGGGTCAATTCTGGCTCTTGGCAGCACAGCGGCATCTCTGCTTCTGATCGCCAGTTCCCCAGCTTCCTTCCTCTCTTTCCACGCTCAGAAGTAGAGTCACAGTGCTCCTTCATGCTCTGTGGAAATGAATGGAAGACAGAGAAGAAGACAAGAAAGCAGATTTTACACTATAAGCCAAAGTTAAAGAAAGACATGGCACTACCAGTTCAGCTAGGGGTTCCGTACACTGGCTTATCAGACATAGATTTCTGGACTCACCCACTGTATGTGATCTATCACACAGGCACCCCAAGCAGGTACCCAGGAATGGAGAGAGGGAAACAAGAAGCTCTCATTTCTGGCACAGCGCCTTTCAGACCCCGTGTCCACACCTTCCTCAGTGGCAGGCATCTGGACACCAGCTATAATTCTACTTTCTTTATCAGTATTCGTCAGCATGGTGCCAACCTGCCCAGAAAATGTGCTCCATGACAGACTGTGACTGTAGCAATTTTAATATTAACTAATACAACTAAATGCCTTGGCTTAGTCCCTCAAGGGGATTTTTTTCCAGAAGATGAAAAATTAATAATATTATGTATTCTAAAATGCATTTATTTTTCCAGCTTTTAAAAAAAAAACACTGCATGAAAATCCTATCCTGGAAACAAAAGACATACAAAGAAAAACAACAAAGCAAATGTCTGTGAAAGATCAGAACATGATTTAGTTTGAGCAATGCATTTTGAAAAGAGAAAATCATCATTGAACTAAGCAGTCATCTGCATACAAAGCATGACACATTCCCAATGAGATTTCTTTCTAGCTTTGTTTATGTAACAACTTTTATTATCACCCTCAAATGGACCTCTAGGTTCTGAGCCCTGAATTAGAAATGATATATGTAGCAAGGTTTCATAAAATTTGCCCAAAAAGTAAAGCTTTTTAATTCTATTTAAATGTGGTTTGTCTAGTAAACAAAATACATTGTCTAATTTAAACTCAAAGAAACCTTAAGTCATTTAAATGCCACATTGATTACCTCTTCTATTGATCCAATGAAAGAATTTACTAACATGCTGAAACAGTTGAATGGAGCTTCTTTGCTTTTTTCCTTATTTAGTACACAGTTATTTTTTAAAAAATCACAGGATAATGTAGAAATCTGTTTCTACGTACCAAGTTCCACAATTTCTCACATAGCCATTAATATCGAGTACAATTGTATGGTCTTGATTACCTTCCTTTATAACTTTTACTAACATATTTTTTGCCTTTTAGTAAGAAACCATTTTCTCTCTCAACATATTATTCTCTATATCTTTCCCAACAAAGAACAAAGTCTTTTCAAAAACAGTCAACAGCTTGGAAGTTCTAATACATTATCTATTAGACAAACCTTTTTTTATTACAAACAGAACTATACTTTTAAATTAAAACATGTTTTACACAAACAAGTTTTGCTGAATATTGGAAAGAAAGATTAGAGTTTTAGTAAATCTATCTTCTAGTTAGGATAGGCACTGAGGTAACTGTAGCTCTTTTTATTAATAATTCTACTACTATTATTATTTTGGTAAACATTCCCTCTTGAGAATTAAATATGCTTTCTAATCATCATACATAACCACTGATATTTTCAAGTAATCTGGTTGCTGATCTGAGTTGGAATCTGGAGACCTTAGCAAACCTCAAAGTGAGGTACTGTATCCTGGCCACTGGGTCAGAGGGAATCCCAAAAGTTTATCAAGAGATTATGTCCACAAAATCTAGTAGATGCGTCTGCACATAGAGACTACGCAGAGATGAGCTGGCAATGATAGATCAGAAAGAAGGAGGCATGAATGGTAAAAAGAGCCATCAGACATCTAAAATGGATATTAATCTAGGCTCTTTGCATACCGGGATACCTTTTTGAGTACCTACAACTTCAAGGAGTGGGTAAAGAGGATCAACCAGGGGGTAACAAGCTACCTCAAACATACATGAATAGATTATAGATGTCTCTGTTCTTTTTTTGCAATCTTTTGAATCATTCTGAAAGTAATTTCATTTTCACAGAAAGCATTGAACAACCTTGTCAAAATGATCTATAATTTTCCCTAGGAAAATATGATGTTGTTGTCATATATAATTTTTTTTTCGAAAGTCCTAATGGGAGACAAGTGAATTTCTTCCAAGGCTCCCTTAAGATTTTGAAAACGCTTCTTTCTCTCCCAAAGAAAAATGACAACTTCTAGTTTTCCTGAGACCCACACAAAAAGAACCTATTTCTAAGTTTCCATGTAAGAACTGGGACTCCAGTAATTCTACCTAGACCCTCAAATTGTTTTTTGGCTCCAAAATTCAGGCAGCTGTCTAGGACAACCCAAGGCCATCCCATGACCCACGTGAGCGCAGGCTGCGGCACGCTTTCCTGTGCTCTAAGCGCCAGGGCCAATGCAGGCACACACGGTATGATTCTGCAAAGCCCTCTGTGGAAGATGAAGAATCAGACTGAAATTTTTCATACCAATCCTTTCTCCTCTTCTGAATTTTCCAGGCAAATGCTTCAAAATAGCTCTATCCACAAACTCTAAGAACTTACAAGTAAATGACAAAAACAGTGTCCCCTAACCTAGAGACTAATAGTGGCATCAAGGTTTAAGGGTCCTCCATTGTTAAGCTATTCAGATTTCCATGACTGGAAGCTAAGGAGACAGCCATAGTTCATGGTTTCCCTACAGAGTCAAGGAAAAATGGCTATTGGCCCTTTCAGATGGACCCAACGCTCTCTGTTAGCCCAAGTCAGTAACTAAAAAATAATTAATAATGGTTTCTTTCAAATACATATAACATGGTAATTATGAAATCAAATTACTTTAAGTTTCAAACATCTTTTAAAACACAGTTAAGTCTGGTGATCACATTTTCTTTGAAATACGAGTCAGCTTTCAAAAACCTTTCTTTTGAAATGCACCAAAAGTCTAAAAATGCATATTTCATCAGAAAGAAATTTTCATGAAAAGTGTATATGGACTACATCTTAGACAGCATTTGCATTTCTGGTACAAATGTCTAAAAAATACAGACATCTACTATATTTGCTGACTTTACTCATAAAATTCAAAGCCATGGAACATTAAGGTATAGATCTTGTACCTAACAGAAAAAAAATCAATTCATGTAAGTTCCTGCTTTATCAGACAAGATATTATCCCAATTTAGAGATGAGCAACAAAAGGCTAAAAAAGCTTAAGTGACTTATCCAAGAGTCCAGGTTAGTAACCAGAGGGAATAACAGTACCACTCCGGTCAAGTTCCATCCTTTCCATTGGAGTGCTTCTTCTAAAATGTTGCCTTGTGAATGATTCTAGCTAAAGAAAAAAATAAAACCTATGATTGCCAAAAATAGCTTTAAATCACCTATTTTAGATAATTGACTTCTAAAATTCAATATTTATTTATACTTGGAGAAAATTACAAAATATGTTATATGACTTCAATAATTAAGAATTAAATGTCCTAAGGAGTTATTGTGCTCAAATTATATTACTTTACTACTACTTTTCTGCAGGATGAAATACATATTAGTAGACAGAGAATAAGACAAAAATGAGTTGAATTCTAAAATTTAAGTTAGAAAGTGTCTGAGGCAAAGAGAGAAAAAAATCACAAAGTAAAAGGAAGATAAATGGCCATCTTCATAATGTAAAAAGAACAAATATTTTATTACAAAAACATATACATACACAAATGCATACATGTATATGTCCATTGAAGTAAACTAGTATGTAATAAGATAACAAGAAACTTTACTATTGGGCTCCCTATCTATGTAGGTACAGTGGTACCCTGATACATGAATTTCCATGATTCTGAAAAAGATGGCAGAATCCTGTAAAAAAAAAAAAAAAATGGCTAGTCATGTTCGTCACCTGATGCAGGGTTCACAAACAACACACTTTTACCAAACACTTCTGTTTGCAATCCAAACTGCAAACGAAAGCGTTTGTGAGCCAAGGTACCATGGCACATGTATTCTAAGTGCCAAACAACTATCACAAAATTTCACTATGTGAAGACTTCAAAGTTAAACACTTCCCATAGTTTAATTTATATTTTAATTCTCTTCAGAAAAATACACAATGCAGTTGATTTCAAGTATCAAAAATAATCATTCTTAAATTACATTTACAACTTTAAATAAGAAATTATTTTTGTTATCTATAATGGAAATCTTTTAGAGCTATTTCTTGCCTTCCCAGACTAAGTAGCAGAAAATAATTTTCTGTATACTGACAAAAAAATTTTTGTGAACAAAACAACCTCTGGGCCTGCTGGGCTAGTTATGGATATTTGCCTTCACTCTGAATGACTCCAGAAGGCCATGCTTACTGGGACAGTACTTGATTTTATGCAAGTTTTTGACTTCTCCTTCAGTATCAGATTTTCAACTGTTATGCAGAGTGTTCATATCATAACATTTAGAAAAGGGGTCAGAGTAAATTATTTCTAATTGAGTATTGTTTTTGGAAAAACATTAGAAGTCATAACTCTCTTCTTCCTGATGTCAATTAACATCCTAAATCATTACAGATACTGCAAATAATAAGACATGACCAAAGGTAACTTAAACAATAAAGACTTACTATCACCAATTGCAAAGTCTTGAGAAATTTCCAGGTTGATAACTTCCCTGGTTCAGCAAAGTCAGAGTTCCAGTTTGATTCTCTGAAGCCCTCTTTACTTTCTCTTTGCAGTTCCAAGGGGGTCCTATCAAACACCCTATCACGTGCAGATAACATCACATACAGTAGCAATTTGCAGTTTCCCTGTCCCAGATGCCATTTTAAAAGCAAGAAAAGTTTTCCAATGAGCCCTTCATGAGGATACATCTATTTGTGTCATTGTCCATAACTGTAACTCCAGCCCAGGACTTAACAGTCAAGCCACCGTGATCAGACTCAATCAATATTTATCTGCCTGAAAAGACGGAGGAAAAGAAGAATGAAAACACTGCAGTTAACAAGCAGCAGAAAGAAATAGCTGGTTATAAAATGCTCCCTTTTTAATGACTCTAATTTGCTGCTCCTACTCTGAGATGGACAGTGAAGATCCCAAAGATAAGCTTTTGAATTTATAGCTAAATTCAGATTAAATACATATTGCTGTTATTTCCTCATGAGTGAGGTATGTATTGCTGTATTAATTTCATGGTAATTTTTGGAAGTCTTGGAGAATCCTTTGGTCTCATTTCTCCAAGCCAAACCATGGGTGGCTAAACATTTATTTTTTAAAAAAAAATATTGATTAATGATCTTTTCCATACCAACCATTCTACTGGGCACTGAAGACACAAGAGAACAAAAATGAAATTATTCTGACCCCCAAAGAGCTGTAAAGAACTACAGCTAAACTTCATATCGAATCATTATTTACTAACTGGGATTTAATCAAGGACAGGAATTAGAAACCAGAAGTGGCATAAGTTTCCTTCAATAAACACATCCTATCAACATGTGATATTAGTAGTCTTATTTCTGTTTTTTCAAAAACAATACTCAAATCTTATTTCACATGTTTGGTTTCTACACAGTTTATTTTGTTTTACTTTATCAGAAAGAACACAAAAAGTTTGAGTTTGATCCATGGGTGAAAGCGCCACACTGAGCATGACATTCCTGGTGGCTGCTTTGTTTTACTATTCCAGAGTTAAACAAAAGGCTGTCTGGCAATATTTCCTTCAACAACAATATTTTGGATATTTTGTCCTATTATTCCAGTAAATTTCTAGTTTTGGTTTTCTTAACACTAAATATTCTCTTTTTAATTTAAATTAAAATGGAAATTATCTTCATGAGATTTACAGGTCTTGAAATCCTTCCTGTCGTCTCCTTCCATCAGTTTCTCTTTGATAAGTATCCAAAGCAATCATTAAATAAGGCTACCTTGATGTCACAAATTATATTTCTTTCCTCAATTAGCAAAATCAGAGAAGTCTATTTCTATATTCTCAAGAAGATAATACATTTGAAAATTTTATAGAATTATTTTTTAAATTTGTATTAAATATCCCGACCTAGAAAATAGTCCCCACAGTAAAATTAATGATACAACGCTCTAAAGGCTGAAATAGACCACTATAAAGAGAGCTAAATTTTAAAGTTTAAATTTTTATACAAAATATGATAGATACTATCAGTTATTTCAATGTTTAGAAGTAACTCACCCACTAACACACATCAAAGGAGGAGAGTATTTGCAATCATATTCTTGCAAAGGTATAGAAATACCAGGTCTTTGGAACAAATATCTGTGATTTTTTTCTCTTATTTATGCATAATCCCAGTCAAATTATTGTACTGCTGGTACAACTGAATCCATTCTCCATTGTATTCTTGAGAAATGTGGTCTCCTCTCCACACTCATTTCCTAAAGACAAGATAGGTTTATTTATCTTTGTTTGCCCAATATCACTTGTTAAAGTACTTTCCATGTGACAGGCACACAATAAACATCTTTCCTTCCCCATTCCTCCTGTGCAATTTAAGTAACCTAATAGCAATCATCAGAATACTATTAAGTCAACAGGGTCAACTACCCAGGAAAAAAAGAAAATATCTTTGACCATTCTTTAAAATGATGAAAAATCATACACTCCCATTTATGAAACTGCATTCTAAGATCTTACCATGTACTTAGGAAGTATGATACTTAGGCTGGATCCTATTGACTTGATTGGATTGAGAGCTGCCCAGAGGACTAAAAGAGACGATTTCTCAGCCTGCCTGTGTGGGTCAAGGCAAGGATATTCTTGCATAAAAAGTTAGGTCCCTGGCTTCTTCCTCTATGACATTTTTCTTCTAATGCTTTTCTTCTCTTCCACCATGAACTGAGCTCTGCTCCTCCATACCTTTCTCCCATCATGTTTCTGCCTTGGAGTCAACTGATTTTAGAATGAATCTCCTGAAACAGTTACATGAAACTCCTTCTCTTTAACTTGTTAATATTGAGTATTGTGTCCTTACAACAAGAAAGCTAATAGAGGAAGCTAAAATACAAATTATTAACATTAATCATCAGTCATCATTAATCATTAGTAGGGAAAATATATGGCACAAGAGTGCTAGAGATAGGCTTTAAGAGATACTAGAAGAAAAACAACTCTATGCCAAAGTTGTCAGAAAAATATTTACAGAAAAGAAGGATGTAAAGATAAGATTTAAAAGTAAAATGGGATTTCCAAATGATTTTGGAGAATTGAATGGTTGTGAAATAACTCATTTAAGAAAGAATATAGAGGTCAATTCATAGAGCTAAAAGTTCATGTACAGATAAGAGCCTACTGCTGATAGCAGCATGGGAGACTAGTAATGACTTTACATGGTCCTTCAATTACAAAGTATTTAAGTTCTTCTAATGTTTTTAATACATTTTAACATATTACATACTCTTCAATGGCCTTCTAGATTTACAGGAAATAAATGATCATTAAGAATGAATTTTCTCATTCTTTCTTACACACCACACACACACACACACACACACACACACACACACACACACATCAGAGCTGAGAACAGTGAGATTTAAGGAGAATCAGAAAGCAGCATTGTCAAAGAGGTGGCAGCTCACAATACTTCAGCAGACAGGAGAAAAATTCAGTGGCACAGTGGGAAAATAAACATGAAGATCCCAGGCTTAATCCTGAGACCCTCTAAATTAGCTGAAGTGCTACTAGTTATACAGCATCCCCCAACTCTCTGCAAAGCAATATAAATATTTGTCAGAGGAAAAGATGACCACTTTAAGCCTTCGGGATTCTCATAAATACCTATCAAACTAATATTAACTCACAATCGACAATCATCGATAGAGAAAAAAGGAAATGGTAAATTTCATTTGGAAAAGTAAAGAAATCATGTGGTGATGATAAAATGTCAAATATTAATTACTATAGAAAATGTTTGAAGAAATAAAGGATAAAATTCTGAAAATTAGCAGTCCACAGCAGATTGTCAGAAATCATCAGGTAAATTTATAGACTAGCCAAACAAAACTTTTAGAAATTAAAAAAAACAATAAAAGTAAAAATCCAATGTTTAGGTTAAACAGATTACACTCAATAGAAGAGAGATTAATGAGGAAAAATAATCATTTAAGTAGATGTAGAACAGATATTTAGAATTCAATACTCAATCAGCATTAAAAAGAAAACTTTAAGAAAACTAGAAAAAAATTCTCAACCTAAAACTCATTAGAAAAATTTAAACTATTTCCCTTTTAATACAGGAAAATAAAAGCTTAACACTGTTTCTTTAATATGTTTGGAAGAAAATATAGAAAAAAACCTAATTCCTATCCTCATGATAGGGAAGCTCTAACTTAACTGACAAAAAGAATATTCACATATTGATAAATTTAACTATAATTTTAAAATTTTACTCAACAGCAAAGAAGGAAAAAAGCTAATTTCAAGTAGAATAAGATATTTGCAACATATATAGCTGACAATAAATCAGTAAACAATATAGAACCTCTACAAATCAATAGAAAAGGACAGAAACCTCAATAGAAAAAGAACAATTGAAAATCAAAGCAAAAATTTTGCTAAAGAAACACAAATAGATAAACTAGTAAAAAGATACTCTCAATCAGAAAACTATAAATTAGCATATAGATGACATAGGATTCTACATTCACTAAATCACAAATTTTTATATAGCTTAAGAGATAATTTGTAGGAAAAGTTTGACAGAAGAGGTGATTGTTTTTCTCAAGAAGATTTACATTTACTTGCAGAAGGTAATTAAAGAAACTAGCAATTCAAGATTACCTCAATCCAACTATAGGAGTTGAGAGGATTCGAACCTGAGCTGTGCTGCTTACCAAAACTCATCTATTTGTGTTTCCCTTAAATACCAATAAAAATATTTCAATGTCCTAACACAAGGTATAGGACAGTGGTGGTGAACCTTCTCATGCATGCACAGCAGGCTGATGTCACTGAAAACTCTTAAAAGTTTGCCATTGCTGGTATAGAAGAATCATAGGCCGTCACTTGAGCAGACCTGAACATCAATTTTTGCTCTCTTCTCTTGGGAAACTATCAAAATTGCTGCTTCATCCATCTCTTCCTAAATAACCAAAGGCCCCTAGGATAAAAATGGCCTCAAATTCCTTACTTACCCCTCTGGGTTTTCACTTTCAGATTTTGGGTCCATAATTCTTTGTAATCCTCACTAGCAGACTTTAATATTCCTCAATCAGAGTCTAGTTTCAAAGAATCAGATACGCCATCAGTGGGGCTAGAAACCAACGGAAAACCTTTGTAAAATTCTGGTTCCCTGGCTTTATGTTACAAACAACCTCAAAATCTCTTATCTGGGCTAGAGATGTAGCTCAGTGGTAGAGCACTTGCCTGTCATGCACAAGGCTTTGGATTTGATCCCCAAAACAAAACAAAAACTCTCCATTCACCCTATAAACTTCTCAGCAAAATATTTCCAAATTCTTCAGTAAAGAGGCAAGTTTTTTCTCCTTCCTCGCCGCTTGCTTCCTTCCGCCAGCAGTTCCCGTGTATGTGAGTGGTCTGGTGCCTTCAGCCACTCGCTCTCACCTGTTACCCTAATCTTCACAGAAAACAGGGACTGAAAGCAGATTCTCTGCCCAATGGGGTTATGGGTGCTTTTTTGCTCTCTATTTTTACCTGTATTTTTTAAAGTTTCTGCAACAAACACGGTTGTTTAAACTTCTCATGTCTACTGTTGTAACGTTTCTTAATGATTTGTGTGCTATTATTTAATACCTCTGCATAATTTGATATTTACCTCTGCTAAATCAAGGCAGGCTGCTCCATTTGCACAGGTGATTTTCATGTTTCCCTAGGGACTTTAAAATTTTGCAGCTGTTTTCCTGTAGAACTAATTCCTGCACAGGTGTCCTTGCTTATATGGAAGACTTACAATCCTATTTCCAGGCTTCCCTGTCAACGAGCTTGCACTTTTACTAATGTAGCACTCAGATATGGAAAATTAATATTTTTCCTTTTCTTTGTAGTATAATGAGATAATATTTTTGAAATATTTCCAGATGTACTTTTGTACCTTGGAAATCATGCTTTTCTACTCATTGCATACTCTTACAGAGAAAGGGCTGAACCAGGGAGAATGACCATCAGATTTCCCCTTGCTCAGGAAATATATGTAAATCTCAGGTCTCTGCCCATATCATTTTTCTATAACACATTCAGACTCTAAAATAACATGTAAAATGTGTTGTTGAATAACCTACTTTGCCACTAAAGGAACTATTCTTACTTTTTAACCTTTATCAGGCTGTCACTTGTGGCACTAATATGTTGAGAACACCTCAAATTAGTACTACGAACTCGATGGCATAAAATACAAGAAACTTATTTTCTCATAGCTCTAACAGCCAGAAGTCCAAAAGCAAGTGGTAGCAGAACCATACTCTCTGCAGAGGATCTACAGGAGAATTTCCCCTTGCTTCTTCAGATTCTGATGGTTGTTGGTAATTCTAAGCTGCTTTGGTTCCTATCTGTATCAGTCCAATTCTGAGTTCCGTCTTCACACAGCCTTCTCTTTTCTATGTCTGTGGCTTTCCAATTCCATTTGTATAACTACTTTTTCACTGTAGTTCAGGCTTGTTCAGGTAATCTAGGGTAGTCTCATCTCAAGGTCCTTAACTATATCTGCAAAGACCTTTTTTCCAAATGAGAAGGCTATGTGAACACCTGTTTATAGGGTAGAGGGAGAAAGAGATACAGAGACAGACAGACAGAGACAGTTACAAAGACATGAGTAAGAAGATGGGAGGAGAGGAGGGAATAAATTGACGACTGAAAAGTTAGACTCACAGGAATAACACAGGTAATGGATGGGCTTTAATAGTTAAGTTTCTAATAAAAATAATACATTATCATATGTGTGGCTGGGCATACTTCATATACATTTAATTTAAAATCTTGTAGGACAACAGTAGATTTTATCCAACCTTGAATTGAAATTCAAGTGCCTAGCCTAGTATTCTTCACATGGTAATCAAGCAATAAATAATGGAAAATACAATAATACATATTGTATAAAATAAGTCTATGGTTACATACTACTCATTTTACCTTGACTTATAATTAGCTTTAAAACCATCAGATTTCACAGAGTCACTATAATTTTCAAATATTATTTTTCTGTAAGATGCTTAAAAACCAAGCATTATTTTAGGAACCAACAAAAAAATTGAGACCTAGGGAAAAACATGAATTAGATAATAAAACAACTGCAGGTATTTTTGCTATGGGAATTAGAAAGGTAAAGAGAACTAAGGGAAGTCTACTCAGCATTCTGATGTGTCCCAGAAGCATTTTGTGAGAAGTCTAGATGGAAAGCATAAAGGCATAATGGTGGAGAAAAGAATGGAGATCCTCAGAGAATTGCCCTCCAAATAAGGGAAAAGATTACCTTTCAGGATAGGATTGGTGTCACTGAAGAGGAGACAGTACACCTAAATACAACCCCCCAAAAGGAAAAGAAATTTTTAATGTCAGAAATATAAAATAATTATAAAATCCATAAAGCCAACTCTGTAAAATAGAAGCCATAGGTTATCATGAGACATGAAAAAATTATACTCCTAATAAAAATTCAAAACATGATCATTTTATTATCACTTAATCCAATCATGCCCAGCATGAATTATGCATGATCACTTGCTCACTAAAATGTGTCTGAGTGTCACACATATGTACATAATCATTTTCCTCTGTTACAGTGGCTTGGTGTTCTGCTTAGAAACAGCTGTATTTCCTGAGTTGGTATATGTAATTATCTGAAAATTATGTCAATAAGTAAATTATCTTTTTTGAAAAACTTCCTACGAGATTACCCAGTGGGGTTCAGAAGGACTAAATTTGTATCAAAAATATTGTCACCACTGAAAATCTGGTAATGATCAAGAACCAAGTGTATCAATCGTCAAAATTCCCAGTGAAATACATACCCTTCTCCCTCCAAACACTTGCAGATGACCAAAAAAAGAAAAAAATCCTAAACGCAATAAAGGAAAGTAAGATAATAATGGGAAAAAGAACTCTCACTAAGCATAGAGCTCAGTGGTTTTTGTTTCCTGGAATGCAGAAAGAGAAAGCACAAACATGTAAAGGTCACAGCGAAGCTGACTGCAGAGGTGGCCACTGATCCATCCATGTGAGCACAGGCAGGACCTCAGAATCCAGCCAAAAAGTAAGGCGCATGGCAAGAACAAAGTAGAAATTGGAAAGATCCTGGCATTCTCCTACCCTTAAGGCCTCCACTGAGAGCTGCTGTGCTTACTTCCACTTAGTGCCTAGACATCTGTTCTAAGTCATCTACTCCAGCTCCTGGAGGAAGATCAAGATGGGAAGCCTTTGGGGAAGATTCCTGCATTTCCCTGCAGGCTGTTCATCTCTGCCTAGTACAAAGAGCAATTAGCACTTCCAGAGTTAACCTCCACTTTCTCCATAAATATGAATGGACAATGAAAGTCTCCAGTATTTCAGGGAAAGATACACAAAAGTAAAAAACTATGGCAAACAGCTGACCCAAAAACATGGGGGCTGGAGATTTAGCTTAGTGGCATAAGCACCTGCCTGGCAAGCATAGGTCATGAGTTCGATCCCCAGTACAAAAAAAAAAAAAAAAAAAAAACAGCTGATCCAAGAAAGCTGATAATTCATAAAAAATGGAAACTAACTTTTATCCAAATAAGGATTCTTGAGCTGGAAAACATACTGTATCCCTAAAATTGGAATAGGATTATATACAACAACAAAGAATTTTTTTAAATCACCTTTCCAATTCATTGGAATTAAAAATGAATTGGAAATTAATTCTAAAAATTAATTTTAAAAATCCAGTAGAAGAGCTACCTTAGAAAACAGAAGAGACAAAGATAAGTGCTTGTCAGATATTAATATAGCTGCAATCATATTAGAACCCAAATTCTGATTCCAGAGATGTGAGACACTGTATTTAGGGGAAAAGGGTACTAAGGATTGAACAAGAGTCTTCATGACAGTAGGAAGCCCAGACACGGTGCCTAAAGAAACCAGCACTCAAAATTCAGTCAACACACATAGTCAGGCTAAAGTATGAGTAGAATTTATTGTAAAGTGGGCATAAAGAGAGTTACACCTTTGAGGGAAAAGATGAGTGAGGTCCTGAAGGTATCTGCTTTAGTATCTTCTTACATACAGGAGAGTCATTCCTGGGGTTCACCGAACTATGATGATTATCATTGTATAAACAGTGTTTGTATCCTCATTCTTCTTAGCAATTACTTTGGAATGTTGATATCTAAAATGTCTTCATGCTTCTCTTCAGCTAGTCATCATACCCTCAGGGACTTTGGTCATATAATAAACTTACAAATGAAACTTATGAAAGATAAATTAGGTCTCAGCCCAAAGACAGAGGCTCTTTCAAAAAACTTCCCCTTTTTGATTCATGGCATAAGCCAGGATTGGTTTGTTTATTTGTGTTTGTTTCAAGACAGGGTCTCACTAAACCAATAAATTGGCCAGGCTGTGCTTTACTTTTGATATTTTTGCCTCAGTTTCCCAAAGGGCTGAGAATACAGGTGTGTACCAGCTTTGGAGATTTTTTGTAAGACTTTTTGTATGTTTGTTTTTTAAACAGTCTTTCTGTATTGCTCAGGCTGGTCTCGAACTCCTGAACTCAAAGCATCCTTTGGCCTCAGCCTCCTGGTATGCTCTAATTACAGGTGTACATGCCCAGCTGAAACCTAATTTCTCACAAGCTTCTACCCATGCCGCCACTGCTTGAAAAGAGACCACAATGTTTAGTCATAATGAATTGTGAAATTTTGGAACAGGTAACATTTTAGAAGAGAAGAGGGAAGAAGAGAGGGATGCTGGGGATGGGGAGGAGGGGAAAGAAGGAGGTCCAAAGAGCGCAGTCCTATGGGCCCCAAATCACTGTTTGGAAGTGTTAGCAAGGCACTCACCATGACCCCATCTCCCTCAGCGCTCTCCTTCCTGGTCTCTCTCCAGCTTCCCTGTCGTTATTGAATTCCAAGACAGGGTTTGTTCCTCTTCAGCTTGTTTACTCTTCAAACGAATTCAGAGAATCAGGATTAATTCAGTGCTTTATTTTGCTTAGGAAGACAAAATTTAATAATGACAGAAGTGAGACTAGGTCATGCCAACCTTTATCCAATTACCTCTAATTTACCACACAATATGAAACAGGGAATACTCATTTATGAGTCTAAACATTTAGAATATAACTTTTATATTAAAAAAGAGACAGTCACAGCAATATCCTAACTTATTTTTCTTTCCTTGTTCTCAAGGTAATAGACTCACAGGAAATTTTTTTAAGTTTTCTTCTGCAGCAAAGTTACTCTAGTCACAAATTTACGTAGGTTAAAATTATAGATTTTAGGCTACACTTTGTATATTACTGACTGATTTTAAAAGTTCTGATGATTAAAGAAACTATATTTCAGCCACTGATACTTCAATATTCAGGTAGGCTAGCTGGTGAATCAAAAGGCTTGCTAACTTTGTTTTCCAAATTTGAATGTGTCTTTCATTTTAAATGTCTTTATTTTTATTTAATACTAATTATTTCATAATTTGAATTTTTATTTAAAAATTCTCTATGATACACCAATTGCTCAAAGAAATGTTTCTAGAGAGCTCCAAGTTAAAATGATGGCCTATTTTGTCTCTACAAGCAGGACCAATGTAATGCTTTCATATATATCATCCAGAGAAAAAAATGAGTGTTTATACTATTTGAGAGAGAATGATTTCAATCAAAACATTATTTCTAAATATTTCTGTTTTTAAAATGGCTCCTCCTTAGAGAGAAATGCAGATTCTGACTCTAAAAAATAAATAAATAAATGTTCCTGGTAACTGTTAGAGTTTTCTGGCAGAAGCAAAAGTACAAAATGAACAATTTTATTAAGTTGAGGACGTGGAAAGGAGCACACAGCACATGGTGGCTGGGCTGTCTCCTTCGACCAGATACAGAAAGGCAGAGGGTTACATGACCTCTGGAAGTGGCGCATGCGATAGATATTGATGACATGTTAGGAACCGATTGGAATTCTCTGTGCGTGTAAACAGGAAGGGGAGCTTCAATTAGGGCTGAAGAAGAAGCAGGAAGTGGTAAGCGTTCCCACTTTGGCCTTCTGCCACATTAGACCATCGCCATAACTGTACAATAATTTATACTAGGGCAAAACTCTTTCAGTAACAATGTATTTGTTACTCTTAGTGAGGCAGGAACTAACTAAGAAATGGCTGGAAACAGAAGGCAAGCCCTGCTTTGGACCCCACTTTCTGGGCTAGATGCAGCTTCTGAGTTGAACATTAATCCAAGTCCAGGATATCCAGGGTTAAATACAATGGGAGGAAGTAAGAACGTAATACACAGTCTCAGGAGTGCACCCAACCCTTGACTGAGTCCTGCCATAAATACCATGACATTGACTATGTAGTTCTGATCCTCCCCATCATGGGCTTTGGGCACCATGACAGTTTCTCTAAGTGCCATAAATTGGAGAGGCAGCATTAAGCTGCTCTCTGGCAAGAGCAAAACTTCAGACCAATTCTTCAGCTCTTTGCAAACTCATGATTAATACCCTCACCACCAAGGTTTCTTGGGCCCATGACCTCTTTTCACTGGCTTGGAAGCTCTTTCAGAATTTTCTGCTCAACTGTATGTTCAGCATACTAAGAAACTGAATAAGACCTTAATAATCTAGTAACATTGTCTTTGCAAGCTGATCAGGAAGTAGGCGGATTGTATTCCAATTTGGTCTTTGTCTCTGGTAGCTCATTGTGGACACAGGTCACACATTAATGGTTATTTAGATATCTGCCACTGAAAGTTTCCTGTGAGAGGTAAACAGAGTCATGAAATGGAGTATTTCAGGCTCCACCAGGCACAAGACGATTCTACACAACATGCAGGTCTATGTTTTGTGTTTCCAAACATGAAGTTTAACATGTCTGTTTTGCTCCCAAGCTTTTGTTCTTCCTGATACTTTGCTCATCTTTCTCTTTCGCTTTGAGAGATAGCTGTGGATAATATGGTCTCTTTCTTGGATAGCACCTACCTCCAGCTTATCCCTTTGGTGCTTACTATGATCAAAATCTCACTTGGCCCTTTCCCATAGATGGCATCCTTAATGAGGAATTTACTTCATTGTCCCAAAACCCAAACTTCAGGAGACAATCTCAGTCCATCCTTTTGCCACATTTCCCAGTTGTCCTCCTGGATGCTGGGAAGCTCACTTTTATAGACAGGAGCTATGGTCTCCATTTTGCGGGAACCAACAGACCTACCTACTTCTTTTCTAAATCTGGACAAACACCTCTGTTCCTTCTAACTCCGAAGGAAATTGCTGAAGTCCTTTATTATCTGAATCATGGGAGGATAGTTTTCTTAACCGAAAGATACATCCACTAGGTGACTTTATTTTGGTCTTCAAGGAACCATAGTGAGCCACAGGCTATAGACTGACACAGGCAATAAAGAGCACTTGTGCCTTCCACTTTACCAGAGATAGCTGGTAGGAAATGTGAAGCTGTCGGGGGATACCCCAGTCCTCAATGTCTAAATCTCCAGCTGTTATGGCTTATATCTAGATGTCTTCTCAAAGCTTTATGAACTCATAGTTGGGCTTTTGGGAGGTGGATGAATCATGGTGTATGATACTGGATTATGGGCTTGAAAACTGGATTAGTCCTGGAAGGATCTAAGGTGTGTGTTGGAAGAGAAGCTATCTGTGCCTCAGGTATCTAGGACAGGGCCACTGCTTCTCATGAGTTTGGCATGGCTCCATAAGAGACATACATAGCCCAGGGAGCTGATGTACAAAATGACTTAGCCCTCTCCTAGAATAATAAGCTCCTCTCTCGTTCCCCATATCACCACAAAGACATGTTTTGTTGAAATTAGATGTTTTTCCTTTTCTGAGTTTTATCCTCTCCTTACATTCTCTGTAAAAAGCCTCTTACGTTGACCATATAAGTAAATGTGTTGCAGTCATTGGGCAGTTCCTTTCTCCCATAAGGAGAGGGGGCTTTACCTGACCTCAGCTTCCTGCATTCTAACTCATCTTCATTTCTTCATCTTCCACTGTCTTCCCCCCAGAGTCTCAAGAGCTGCACTGGATGCAGCATGTGTGCAGATGAGCAATATGTAATAGGGAACAAACGCACTCTGAGGATGTTACTATTTCCCCTATGGAACCAAATTGTGATTATAACATGGGAGATCAGCATGAGGGAAAAGATGGTAATGGTCCTTATTATGAAAACAAATCCATTAGGAACCTATTAACACAAAAGGGTGAAAGAGATTCCACAGGGCTAATAGGAAACTACAACTGTTTTTCATATACAATTGGAGAAAGCTTTCCAAAAATATACAAACTTTGACCTGTTTTCAAGGAGGGATGGCCTGAATGGGATGACATTTCATTATTCAATCAGACCTAAATAGTTGGCATAAATTTCAGAACCTTCAAATGTGTTCCTAAACTCCTCTGGCCCTTTTTGTATGTTCAACAATAAGGATCTGGAGAAAAGTTAAAGGGGATAATCTGTGAACAAAGGCATGCCAAAATTATGTCTACTGCAATTGACAGTACCTAAAATTTAAGCACACCTAAATTGTTCAAGAAAAAGTTCAAGGCTAATTAAGGTAATGGTTCCTCTTTAAATGCAAAGAAACTGGACACTGGATGCATGACTATATTATGCCACCACTCAGGCCCTGCCCTATTAATTAAGTGGCTGATGTTACCAATCAATGACACTGAAGAACTGTCTCCCCTCCCAAGGAGGGGCTAGCCAATACTCTCAATGACCACTCTGATGAAAAGAACTAAAAGAGCCCAGGGCAAGCCATAATCCTCCTTTCCAGAGCACTGGATAACCCTGAACATCATGGGTAAGCAAATTCAATTTCTTATCAATACAGAGGTAATACGTGTCTTAACTTGCTTCTCCAGTAAGCCCTCTTTTAGATCTATAGCCATAAATTGAGATGGGGGAAGCCCCCCAGTCAGAGTTTCTTTACTCCTATCTTTATATACCAATTTAAAGATCAAATGTTTAACCATGAATTCTCGTGGTTACCCTAAGATACCCTACTCTTTCACTGAGGGCAAATCAATTATTGAAATTAGGAGATATTCTTCAAACCTGGAAAAGCACAACTGGTTTTTACTTCTTGAGAATACAAAACTTCTCTGACTTTCTTAGTCAACAGGTAGATCCTCACGTATAGTATGATTAAACTCCCAAAAAAGCAAAATCACAGTAACCAATGTGAGAGGAATCAAGGACCCAGAGGCAGGTGCATCCAGAGGAAGTCAGGTGCCTGACACCACGGGACCACAACCAGCATGGGAAGAACCAGGGGCTCCATAACTGGCCCTTTTTTCTCAATTTTTTTCTTTTTTCTTTCCTTTTTATTCCTTCTTTTTTTCTTTTTTGTCTCTTCTAAATAGCTGGGGAGAATGCAATCCTATCCCGCAAACTCAGAGACCAGGCTCAGATATTCCCTTTACTACTCCTTCATCCTTTTTTTCTACCTTCTTCCCTAGTTTTTAGTTTGTGTGACTATCCTTTGTCTTCCAGCCTTGCTTCTACTTTCTTCTGTATTATCTTTGCTTTACACACTACCCTCCCTAAATTTCCCAACTACAAGGAATGGTTATTCTACCAAGGAGAAGTACTTTGCATACAAACTCGTAATTTATGATCAGTTCTGTTATATAACTATAGATTTTGCTCCTATGGTCTGAAATACAAAATCAATAGTTGCCACAGTCTGTCAGTTTCTAAATTGTGCTTCATGTTATTGTTATTGCTAATTTTACTACTTTAGCTAGGATGTCATATCTGTTGTAATCACTTGTTCTCCCTCCTATAACAATACTGAGAAGCTCTGAGGAAATAGTCTCATCACAGTTGTGCACCCAAGGACTGGCAATTGAGCCAAAGAGATACCAACATACCATGCTTAAATAACTAGGAAGGTAGGATCTTGGCACAGACATGAACCTGGAATTTCCTACACA